AGATATATTGAAACTTCCTGTTTCGAATGCACCGATTTTGCTAAAAGCTATGGTTTCAGTGAACATTCACGGACAAAGACCCGTTTGGACTACAGTACTAATGACTACATAAAAACTCACTGTAACCCTCATACTAGTTTACTATCTACCGTGTTATGTTTGCTTTTTAATATTTCAGTAAGCAATGCTATAAAGATCAATCAATAAAAATTATATGATTAATCTTCGAGACGCTTATAAAAACCGTTTGACGGGTGGCACAGCATGATCTGATTATTTAGCAAACTTAGTTTTTTGGTAAGTGTCTTAAAGTACACAAAGTATACTCAGCGGTTTGTGACATTTGCAGGGCCTTTGCGGTGCAGTAGGAATGAAGGGCTACAAAATTAAAAGCTCTGTGTAATGTCAGAAGACCATGAAGCCTCATTAAAAAAAAAGTAGTGGAATTCACTTCTGTAACTTAATAAAATGTTAGGACGGTGTAATAACCTTTGTACAACTTCATCATCGGTTTTGGATGCTTCTTTTGCCTTCCCTATGTTTTCTCGGACTTTCACCTCTTCAGCTGCTTCATCGAGTTCTGCTTTTGAGTACGGCGAAATTGCTAAAAACAATTTGTTCAGTACTTTCGCAGTCGCTTAATTAAAACAAAAAAAATTTTTTTTCATTAGTATACCCTCCAAACATAAATAAAATCAGTACAGAGAACCTAATAATATCAAAAAGTTCCACACAAATTGATATCCTTGTATATTCTTACTTGTAATAATAAAAAAGGCCACAATTAAAACTGGCATTAACGATAAAAATCTTCCTCTCCTCATCATGCAGCAGCCGGCGTATGTGTACCAACACGACTACCAATTATCAACAGTACGATTTAGAGTAACCGATTTCTTGACGTTTGCATCTAATGATTAATTTTAATTTTGGCACTTTTCTAGCACGGCGCCGCCACAGGTGAACGCGTAGTAAGTAACGGCTCAATCTGGAAAAGCCCCCTTATCTTCCCTAAAGAAGCACCGGTAAGCTTTCAGACTGAAAGCACCATCGTTTTCATTGGTTTATTGTTTTTTAGGTGGGAAAGTAAGCGGACGGGAAAGTGAAAGGAACGGCGGCAGAAACGAAAGGGGATAGCGGCAAAAGAGGGGGACTGTTTTAAAGAAACGGTTAGAGTGAGAAGGCGGCAAAGATAGCTGGAGAAAGTGGGGGAGAGCGTTGGCGCTGCCGCTTACTTCGTATATCTTCGATTGGTTATTCGGTGACACCTTTTTGGTGCAGTGGTGGTACAATAACGTGCTGTGCATGTTGATTCTTAATCCAAGTACCTTTTGGTTCAGTTACTTACGTTCATTCCGTTCCTACATTGGCAAAATTCAGTTGATTTTCTGCACGAGCATTTTTTTTTAAGCTAATAATCAGATCACTCTTGTTAATTTTATAATGTAAAATCATCCAGTAGGGATTTTAACACTTGGTAGATATACCAACAAGGTACCCTCCAAATCCAGAATGAACCATTTTCTGTCCTCCTCCAGAAAAACTTTGATTTTTCTGAAGAACAACTGGCGAGAAATTTTAAAAAATCCAGGGGATAAACCAGAAACTCACCTCATCAATGGCAAAACTATAGTGCGTACCCGGCAACTCCAAAAGTGTCATCAAATATCACAACTGTTTAGCAACATATATTCGTAATAATGAGCTTCATCGTTTCTCCTAATACGAGTCGCTTAACTTCTGTCAACCCTACAGCGTCCGATGAGAAGCTATAGCTTTCAAACTTGGTCGGGTTCAAAACAGCAAGTATCTTCTGTGCAGAAGAATGGACTGCAGAAAGGATTTTGGTTTTCATAACCATACGTTTTCCAGACACTTCCAATTAAGTCTAAAAAATGGTTCTTGCTCGTTTCCATGCTTGGCAGACAGGAAACTCATATATGAAGAGCTTTCAGGATGGCTTGGTAGTACAGTTGTTTTTGTAACTTTGGCTGATTATTTATGAAATTTCTCTGAGCATTTTGAAAAAACCTTCTAAAGTATCCCTCAGAGACTGGAAATTTGCCAAAAATCGTTAAGGCAAACAAAACATCCCTTACCGAAATAAGGTATAATAGAGGCAGGATAATAAAACAGCAGTGGTATCTAGAGACATAGAGCGAAAGACCAGTTCACTTTCTGTTGTTCTAGTGGAACGTTAAGATACTACTTCCCTTCTGCCACTGGTCAGACAGTATCTTCTTCCTGGAAGAAAGTTCTAGACCTGTAAACCGCATACAGTACTATCAAACATATGCCATAGGCTTTTCACAATTTTATTATAAGTCTGTTAGTCATCAGTCTAGTGCTCCTACAAACACCATTAAGTTCGCATGGCAGACGTTCAAAACGAATCGTAAACCACAGAATGGAACGAATTAATTTCTTGACTTTGTATGAAGAAGGAGTGCACAGGGACTTCCGCCAACTGCAGCGAACGACAGTGACGTCATCGTCTATCTGGAAGGGCAGCCTCTTCAAAGGTCTATTCTCTAAATATATCTGCTGGACCGTCATTGTGAAACTTTTCAAATCGTCTTTGAAACTTTAATGACCCAAAAATAAGCAGTATAGCTGCTTAGGTAAAGGCGGAGTTAAAGAGGATCCCAACCAACGAATATATGCACGTAAGAAAATTTGCCCAATAAAACGATGGTGACGTTTGAGGCAGCTGTGTGGTGGTTGGTTGGAAATGGGCCAAAAGCACTGCAAACTGCAACGTCTGCGAGCCGTATGTGTTGTCATTTTCTGGAGCAAATAGGCCTGAAGCAAGGATTAATCTAGCGCTTAACTGTTGGAGGAAGCTACAGGTACAACGGACTCTTTGCCTGAAATACTAGAAAAGCTGTGCTTTTTTTCCATAGAATTATATGACGATTCAAAATTGTTATTTCTCCTTCCTTTGCTTCACCTTCCACTTTTCCTGCTTTTGATTGAAGTCGCAAAGGTTAGGTTTGTGGAGGCTGGTTGATAAGGGGGAAAATTTTTTAGCGAAATTTTGCATCGTCGTTGTGTAGAATCTTTTTTTTCTTTTTAGCAAGCCATATCTGAAATTCTGGTAAGTCTGAACAGTCGAGCTGCAGATGCAGTTTATTCGGCCATATTTAATCCGTAGGAAAGGAGTTTAGTGGCTTTTGCGTTCTTTTGCGTTACATGGTGGTTTTCTACGTGGATATTCATTAGAGAAACTAATCGATGGTTGTTGTACATGACTTTTGCGATAGTTTTTTGCAGTTAGCTGTGCTCTGTTCACTTAGATGTTTTTGTAAGGTTTCGTTCTTAAATTTGATAAACTTTGGCATTTTATTGATACATTTTGGTAGCTGTATATTGCAAATGCATTTTTGGTGAGATATTTTATTATGCGCTACTAGCAAGGTTCATTTGTTGAGTGGTTTTATTATGGTATTTGCTTTATTTTTTTTATTTTTTTTTTTGTGCTTAATAGCTTTTTCACACTTATTCATTAGTTCCCTAAACTGCACATTTTTTTGGTCTAATTAAGGGATTTTTGTGTCGTTTGGTGAATTGGTCATTGTCGAAGAAGCGTCATTACTGCTTATCAGAAGTTCATTGATTTTTTCATATATTACTTTAGCTGTGAAACATGTGAAGATAGCTATTTTTCTACCTAATTCTGGTTTAGGTGTTATTTTTCTAGACTGAAGTTTATGACAGTTGGTTCAAAAGTAGTGCACGAGAAAAAAGCTTGTTGACTATTAATTACAGAGTGGATGTAGTTCTCACAGGCTTGAAGAACTTTTTATTTTCAACAAATAGGAAGATGTTGTGTAGAGTGCATACTTTTTTTTTTTTTAGTTTACCTGGGCATGTTGTGTTGAATTAGTGAGTTGGAGAGACATCTGGTCAAACTGTGATAGTGAAAGTAAGAAATTACCCAGTCTGGAGAAGTGTTTTTTATTGTTTAACTTAAAGTTCTCTTCTTGGTAGATTGACATTTTTTGCATTTTGTTACAACCGAATCTACTGTTTTGGTTAGAGGGAAAAAGCTCATTATCATGATCTACTAATCAGTTAGAATTACGCAATAAGTTTCAGTTTTGTCGGCATAGCATTGTCCCAGTCAGTTTTTGATAACTTATAAAGGACTGTGAAGTTAAAATAAAGAACTGTTCTTTTTGATTTTTATATTGTTGTCCCGGTTGAAGATTTCACTTGAGGATTATGTGGTGTTGAAAGTTTTTTGAATGCTATCATAAACAACGATCAGTTTGTTTGATTTTGCAATTTAGTTATATTTAGTAATGGAGGTTTTTTTTGCATAGCCAGTGAGTGGGGATAAATTTTTCAGTAATGTGGAAGAACTTTTTTGAAAATCAAGAATTAGTCTTATTTGTACATAAAACTAACGCGCCGCCTGTTCAATTTCTTCTTTTGCTTTATTGAAATAATTCTAAATAGAATTTTTTGTTTCGTAGGTGTTTTAAGCATTTTCGTTACCAAATTAATTGAGCAAGATACCACAGCGTTAAAATTATCCTTATATTCTTTCGTGTGACTGTACGCATTACTGGCAGAATGCAACAGGAAGTGATCACGTACGTTTTAAAAAGATCAAAAGGTGTATCATTCCCTGAAATGCTTTGAAATACTGTTTTGAAAGTTTTCGGCTCAGTTGTAACAGTTTTAGCTTGTAAACTCGTTCTGGAAATTGGTCACTTTTTCTTCTAAACTTCCAAAATCACTAGCAGCAGGTTTCAATTTGGATAAATTTATTCAATGTACCGTTTTCAGAGGACCAACTAAATTGTGTCTTTTGAATGGAACTATAGAATCCATGGTTTTTTCTATGAAGAATTGGTTGCTTGATTTGGTGGGGAATGCGAAATTACCTGGCAGTATTTCGTCACCAATTTGTATGAAGTCTAAATTTGACATCTTTTAGGCTTTTTTAAGTTTTCAAAAGTAGTGCCAATCAAATTTCAAAAGACTGCTGATAATTTTTGAAAAAGCAGGCTTTTGACGGGCGCAGTAGGCTATATTAGAGTCAGAGTTTTTATAGCTTCAGGGATAATGTACAATAGTTTGAGTAAATTTTTTACTTTATACTGTTCCGGTAGGGCAGTTACGTATTCTTCCCCCGAAAATTTTGCTTTTTATTTTAATTGAAAACGTTTTATTATCTCTGTGATTTGTTTTTACATCATCCAATTTACAGTCAATTTAGCACCAAAAGTCTTGTTTAAATTTTGCTCGGTTTTTGAAGTTATACTTGAATTTATGCCTAAATGTCGTTTTCTTAATGCCGGTCATTATGAATATCGCTTTTTTTTTCAAAAGGAATTTTTTTGAGAGGATACCGTTTTGAGCTTTCAGGGCTACTTCTTAACTACAGTCATGTCTGAAGGTTCAACCCTGCCATCTCCAGTTGCCAGCAGTGCGGCAAATGAAACCAACAAAATAGTTTTTACAATTGAAGAACAAGTACGTTAAACTTTTTCATATATCTGTACTAAAAGAGAAGTGACTGTCTCGTGTAATAATCATATTTAGGCCTTTGGAAGCGATTAATTAATGTTTCAAATTTAACACAACACACATTTTGAAGTATCCTGAGCCAAAATCAAAAGGATTATGCTCTGGATTTTTTCCACATGTTTTCTTTTAGGTTTACTTCACTATAAGACTGCTTTACCGAGCTTTTTCAGGTAACAGCCTATGGATCTCTGTACGCTATGACCTTACTTTGCATTATATTGGGAAGTGTGCGTTCATTAAACTTTGTAAAAAATCAGATTAGAAGGAAGAAGCAAATTGAATCGTCAATAACCATGAAGGAAGCCAAAAAGTTTCCAATAACAGCGTCAATAGTCCTTTTTGGGTTATACATATTCTTCAAGTAAGCACCCTAAGTGGCTTCAAGTGCGCGTTCTTTTGTTGTCAGACTTGTATTTGGTTTCTATGTATATAAGTTTATTGAAAATGATATTTTAGATGTGATGCTGACTGTAGACAGAAATCTCTTGATTGGGTCAAACAGTATGCACCTCCAAAATTGGCTCAGCGGTTGGAGAATTTAATCTTATTTACCAACAGTACTGATATTCCGCCTGTCTCATCAGTTGAAACTTCTGGCTTTAATATTCGCAAAATCCTCGGATACCTGCCAGCTCTTAATAAACAGAATATAATGTATGGTTTGCTAATTCTGTTATGTTGGGAAGGTAGGTTTTACTCTTACTTCATAATATTTGTTGGAATAACAGTGGTTTTCTGCATTGTAGTACATCATTGACTTTGCAATTTAGAGCTATTATTTTGTTGGTAGATTTGAGCAGAGAAAAGGCTTTTTGTGTTTTTATAGCAGTGTAGCAGAAGTTAGCGGAGTTTTTTGTTTATTTCAGGCTGTATAGCCCTTGGATGTATTTTGAAACCTATATTTGCATTTGTCTTGAGAAAGCTCCCAATAGGAGACCGAGAGCCAAAACTAAATCGCCCTTATCTATTTTCTTTGAAAGTTGGCAAGCGTGAGATGGAAGAAGGGGACATTGAGAACGCATCTTCAAAAGATTCAGTAAGTTACTTCACAGTAGCGAGCCAGTAGAATTAATTGCTTAGTTATTTTAAACTTGTATTTTATTCTATTTCACGTTTTACAGAGCTACTTAATGAAGTTAGAGTGGGATACTCATGAAACTGTGTCTTGCTTAGCATGTTTAAGCGTCGGTATTTCGCATGTGCTGAAGCGTCACTGGATAACCAATGATCTTATCGGCGTTGCTTTCTCTATTTACGGGATTGAGAACCTTCACCTTGCAAGCTTCAAGGTGATGTTCTGTTTATAGGGTATTGGATTATGGGGGTATTCTTTTACTCTGCATATGATGTGGCGACTTGAAAACGTCATTTGAAAGTTTTAGGGGTATTGTATATACAAACTAAATATGGTTATTTTGAATGGTTCTGTTAGGCGGAAAGTGATACCTCACTAGGTAAATTTACTGGGCGGGTTCTTTTTCTTCATATAACGTGATGATTGTTGGACATTATTGTTTCAATCAAAGAATTGACACACCGCAGTGGTTTTTCAAGTTCCAATTTGAACTTTATTTTAAAAAAATTGTTACTTCTGAATCCAAAAGAAAAGAACGCTGTTGAAAGGGTTTTTTTCAAGCACTAAACTAAATTGCAGTGAAGACTCTTGCAAAATTTGAATCAGAAAGTAAAGTTGTAGGAAGATTTTGAAGCTTTACAAGTTGGCATCTCTTCTTTAGTATCTTCCTGAACCTTTTTGCAGCTAGAACATTCAGAAATAGTTGGGAGATGTTATCCTCTTGCTGCATGGCATTTTAAGATTATTCCTGTTAATTATAATTTAATAACAAAAGTTGGCTTCGAATTTATTGTTATTTCATAAGTAAGGTTACATTTTTTGATTTTTTTTTGGAAAATCTTTGTAATTTAGAATTTGCAAGTTTGTGGGACTTATTTGAGTATGGTGGTTAAAACTTCTGACACTTTCTAGTGTCAGACAGTCTTGTTCATTTGGTTGTTTTTGACAGTCTGCTTATTTGTAGTGTACTTTTGTTACATTGAGACCACGCTTTGAGTAGGTCAATTAGGTCACAAAGTTGTCATGCGTTTTGTTTCAAAAGTAAAGACAGAAAAATTTGCGCCAATTTTTAATTGAGTTTATTGGTTGTTACTTTTATTATTTTTAAAATTATTTATTATCAACAAAGTATTGAAGATAATGGATATTTAAACTGGTTGATCAGGACAGCAATCTAAATTGAAACATACCCATAAAATGAGCTAAATTTGCTTTTTAAGAGATTTTACGATAGGGGATCGTGTTTTATTTTTACCTAGTTCAAACTGTGCCGTTCTTTTTGCTTCTGAAATAGAAGTGGAGAGGATACATTTGCAGCATTTCGCTGAAGATCTTGATGGTCAATGAAATAATAGCGGCATGCTTTTAGTTAGGGAACTGGCAAAACTAGATGAAATTAAGAGTGAGAAAAAGTTTACTTTTGCTAGAAACAACTTACTGAAAGAAGTTCGGCATCAGCTTTGAAAATCGACAGTGCTCCAACACAAATGCACTTTAGTGTTGACAGAATTTTCATGAGTAAAACAGTGATGGGTTGTTTTGTAAGCTGGGTTTGTTGCTTTCAGACATGTCTAGTCGTCTCTATTATAGCAGACAATCTGTAGGGCGCTGTGGTTAAAATTGAAATTGACTAACTGTCTGCTTTGAAGTTTCAAAATTAACGGAAGATTTGTATTTGTTCAAGTTTTATTCTGTGTTGGCAAGGTGTAGTTTTTTGATGCGTTTCTTGGAAAAATGGCTAATACTTTTTCGGGCATAATTTCTTGTTTTATTGTTCTTACAAAATGGTCGACCGTCTTTTTTTTGTTAGGGGTGGTATTGCAAGACTATTTTAACAGAAATTTTGAAATATACAAAAATAATTGCGGATTTTCCAAATGAATGGTGCTATAAAGGCTGTTTGTTTCTGATAGCTATTGATTTAAAATCTACCGTTTCTCATTCTTGAAACGTTATTGTATTGCATTTCGAAGGCAGCGGGGTTTCAGTTTTTTAAAAGAATTATTTCAAGATCTCTAGCACTACAGTGACTTTTGAGTCTTTAAGTGAACTTAAGTGAGTTTGGTTTATATGAATGCTCGTTTCTTGTTAAGTAGTTTTTTAGGCTGGAACGGCTCTTTTGGCTGGCCTCTTCATATATGATGTCTTTTGGGTATTTGCAACTGACGTTATGACTACCGTCGCTCGTGGCATTGATGCACCGATACTTCTACAGTTTCCACAAGATATTTACCGAGCTGGTTGGGCAGCTGATAAATATGCAATGCTTGGTAGGTTTGAGTGCAAAAATATTTTTCTACAATTCTCATTTTTTTACTCTGATTTTATGATTGTTTACCGTAGCGTACTATAATAAATTTGTTTGAAAAAACCAAACTCAGAGCCCACCTTTCTTTTTTTATATGTATAGCGTGCTTTGTTCAGTAATTAGAGGGATGTGAGCAATGCCTCTAAATCAGTGTCTCTGACGGTTCAACTTTAGGGTTGGGTGACATCGTTATTCCTGGCATATTTATCGCATTGCTCCGTCGGTTTGACCACCGAATAGTGTCAAAGAATGGCACTGGAAAATCACGATATTACTTTTTAGCAACAGTGTTCGCATATGCTTTAGGCTTGTCGATAACCATGATTGTGATGCATATCTTCAAGGTACTTCGTTGATTGTTGTGCTTAATTCTTTATTAGGGCCGTCATCAACCTTTAGGAAACGGAAGTCTCATGCTTCTGTAACCTTAATTCAGGTGTAAATTTGGTCTTTTAGGCCGCGCAACCTGCATTGTTGTATTTGGTTCCAGCATGTCTGCTTATTCCCTTAGCATTAGCAGCAGCTCGTGGAGAAGCTTTAGAGCTGTGGAACTATTGCGAAGAACATTTAGTTGATAGTGAAAAGAAAAATAAATGATTTAAAATTAGTTGACT